AACACTATTTACTTCGCAATGAATCCCGTCCACCGGATGAAAAATAAAACACAACGAGACGCAAAATCTAGAACGCAATATTCACGCGGCTAAAGAAACTCGTACGTGCTTCATGGTAATTCTACAAGCGGTGGCTGTTGCGGTAGCGAAACTAGGCCCACGATCAGTTAAAGATTAAACGTCAGTATCGCTACCAGTTGAAGTCCATGAAAATCGATCGAATTGCGTCTGTGGCGTATAAACAATTCTGAAAACGTTTCCGATCGCGGTTACCGCATGCGGGATGTTGCGTCGCGAGCTTCTCACGATTATCTCGCTCGGCGACCAACGCGAGATAGCTCTCGCGCGCGTACAGACACTCGCTCGCGAGCGCGATGGAATAGACACGCATAGGAGGTGAAACAGGGCGCGCTGATCGGGGCCAGGTGTGGTTCGCACGCACGGACATACAGGGCATTTGCAAACGCGCTCTCGTGCTCTCCCGAGTACACGCTCGCGCCGGCCGGCTCCGCACTATAAATAGATCCGCGAGAGAGCTACCTGTACCACGCGCGCGCGCGCGCACGCACGGCAATCCTCGCGGCGGGCCGAGAAATGCGAGATGCGACGGCGGCAGCGGTGGCCGCTGCGGCTCCGTGCTGCGCGCCACATGCGGCGAGAGCGCACGCGGTTAACTGTATAACCGCGCGACGACGACCGGGGCAGCTCGGCAATTAACTTGCCCCGACAGCTCGCTCTCGGAGGTTGATAAACAATGCAACAGAGGAGCGAGAGATAATCCGTATGCGAGATGCACTCGCGCGTCCACCGCGATCATCGAATCGATCATCATTCAGATTGCATTCCGCGCGATATCTCGGTCGATCGCCCCGGGTTCGTCGCCGCTCTTCGATGACAGTCCGGGATCCGTAACGGGTTTCAGCCGATTAGATGCATATCGGGAAGCAGATCGATCCAGTATCGATGGACATCGCGTCATATCCGTCGCTCATAAATTATTCGTAATTCTAACAATTATAGCTGATTGATTAGGAGAGGAAACTACCTACATCGAAGACCGTAATATCGGATGCGAAATGATATGAAAATAATAATTTAAGTGGAATGTTATCCGGCACAATCTTATTCGCATATATTACGATATTAACGGGAGCTGCACAGTTTGCAGTTCCCTCCAACCGTTTAACTATTAAATATCGCTCGGTAATTCGGTAACAACATAATTGAAGTGTTAACATCGACTACAATGTTACTCGATCGTTTTACGTACACGCGAATACGGCTTGCCGCGAATGCGATGTAAAATGAAACATGGTAATGGCTATTAGACAATATTACTCGACATTAGATATCTGCGAGGGATTGAACATTGGACATTGCATTAGAATGGATCGTGTTTTTAAGACGAATCATTATATCCAGACCGCATTCCGGGCCGCGTGGAAAACATAACAGCGCGATGGATAATAGGCGAGGTAGAGTCTTCGGCGGTCGCCGAACCGCACGCGAAATGCTTACGCGCGCGTAAGAAGGTGCACGAACAAAAAAGCCGCTAATGCAACGCGATCGTTATGCAGGCGGAGAATGTTACGAGGCAACGAATGATTGCGGCGATGGTCACGCTCATTTTGCAACATCGTAAATTCCCTCGATGCGCCCTACGCGCCGCATTAAGAGACGGAACGAGTTCGTGATTGGATAAGTATTCGCCGCGCGCTTCTCGCGAGTAATAGTCCTAAAAGCGGAAACCTAATTACACAGTGAAGTGGAGATGATAGCGTACGCTGGCCGCCGATCGCACGACTTCTTCTCCGCGCAGGTGAACGTTATCTCAATCGGGCTGCGAGACGAGCGGAACGTGACGTGTTACGGATTCGCAGCGTCATCGGGGAATCGCGACGCGCGATTCGATCGAGATTTCCGCGACGGGGGGAAAAAAAGAGGCACGGTAACGCGCGTCGAAAATAGAAATCTCGCTGCAATCTGCGACGGCGGGTATCGCGAGAAAGCCATCTGAGAAAGTACACGCGACGAACCCTGCCGCGTGCCCTGAATGTGATATGTTTCGACAATATTTCAAGCTGACCGTCGAGAGTGTCAAAGCATTTTCTAGAATTCGTAAATAACAACGGAGAAACTATTCAGTGGCTGTTACGTTTTTCATGATTCAATTGTCAGTTCAATCTTCACGGATAACTATTACGTTACAATGGCTGGATTATCGAATGATTAGGTAAGTTCTTTTCCATAGCAGCGTTAACGCTGCTACTCGATATTTTATTTGGCACTAATGATGACAGTCGCTTACGTTGCAACTTCGGCCACGGTCTCGCGAACGCGCCGTCATTCCTGCACGCGGAGGGACTATTGAAATTCTCGATCGAGCCACTTGCACTTGTGGATCTGCGCCCTCTCTTCCTCGTAGCGGAATGAGTTGTAGGCTTAGACGCGGAATGACGGTAGGAAATTATGCGGATGTCCAGCTGGGATAATGGCGCCCGCGACAAACCGTCGTCTCTCGGGCTCAGGACTCACTCGAGTCCACGCTGATGGATGTTATATATTATTAACGCGCCAACATATTTACAACGTTTTCTACGACGAAAGAATGCCGTGAGATATGCGATCTTGAATAGAAATCGAAATCCTGACAATGCAATCAACCGGGAGATTTGTCAAATTATCGTTCCTCAGAGAGCGCGGTCGGGGCATAAAAGATCGAGCAGATAGGTGAGTCTTTAAGGTGTAACCAATTAGGTATTTTTTGAGGGAGCATTTTTCAGACTACTATCGATATACATATCGCCGCTGTTGACAGATGACGCGCTATTATCGATTCTAATGACGGTCTTGCCTCCTATTAAGGCAGCGCCAAGTCGTCGTCGCCGCTATCAACTGTCAACCCATGTTTCCTCAACTGCCAACGAACTTTCGGCCGACTTTAACGAGTACCACCTGACGCCGCAACTGCCCTTAAAGAGGCAGTTGTCCTCGGGTGAGCGTACAGGGTGTGTGCGTACGGTAAGCGAAAGCGCAAGGGTGGAAGCAAAGGGCAGATGCCGCTTGTTCGCGATTAGAAACGAATTTTTTCAGATAATCGGGGGGGAAGACGGACGGGGAGCAGTTTGCATCGGGCCCGAGTGCGTTTCCGACGATCTTATCCGATGCGAAAATATCGCCGGCGTCTCGAGAACGGATGTGTCGTTGTCGCCGGGAATCAAACTTTGCACGCGATTATTTATGTAGTCGACGCATATTATTGAGGTCATGAAGGATAACATTGTCAGCGCGTCGGACACACGGCGATCCCGGAACATTGTTACGTGAGAGACGCGGGAATCGATCGCGGACCGTCGCCGAAATATCGAAGCACCGGTTCGCGTGTCGCTTTATCGATGAATCTTGACGGGTCAATTTATGCGTCGGTCGATTAATCGATGGATTACTCGAATAAAGAGCAGCACGCGCGCTCGTATCCTTTGTATCTTATCGGCGCAACAATCTGGTTCGATGAAAGCGATACCTTCGGCGGCGTAACGACCGCAGATCCGAGCGCGAAGGGAGCCTCGCGCTATGGCGAGGGAGAATCGGCGTACGGCAGTCGCGGCCGTCTGAAAATTAATAGAGCTAATTTTGTTTGAATAACGCTCTTAATGCCGCCGGTAATGCCATCCATGCTTTACGGCTCTGGCAAATAATTGCCGCGCGATGATCTCTAATTTACTTGCGATTATATCGAGCCTACATGGTGTACACATATGCACGTATGTACACAGAGTGTTGCGTGAGCGCGCGAATAGAATCCCAGAAAGAAAAGCAAGCGACCGGAATGCAAAGTTCACCGCCGACGGGGAATATCGGCAAGAGCACGACCTATCATTTGCCTCACTTCCTGACACTCGCCTACATGTATTTAGGAAGATCACATCGCGTACAGAGCACGGATCTCGTCGAATAGAATTTCCACGATATTGTCAAAGCCGCATAGATGCTAGTTCTTAATTCTGAAGAAAACGTTTTATTTTTTTTTTTCTAAATTAGAAATATCGTCTGGCGACCGTCGAAACAAGAACACCGAAAAAGCTCTTCTGGCGCAATAATTTATAACGCGCCTATATATCTATCTATCTATTTTAATTCTCTCAATCTTATCCCGGTACTTCCGCTCATTCAGCGTCTTCGCACAATCGCGCCGACGGCTTCGCGGATCGTAAAGCTCCTCTCCTGCTCGAAAATCATGCCCGTCACTTTTTGCGCCGGGCAACTCGCCAGTCATTAGCCACGCCGGTAGATCTATCATTATTGCGTACGAGCGGCTATCTGTAATTGGCGAATGTAAACACAGAGTGTAACCCGCTGCGTGTGTTGGTACGCGGATGCGCGTGTGCGTGCGAGGTTTGCGTGCTGATGACCATAGAATGCCGCCCTGTTCGCGATTTACGAAGATAGAATGTGCGCGTACGATTTTTCATTATTTATGACGAGTCCATCAGTTACATATATTCGCGTAAATAAGCCTAAAGTGTTATAATTTGCATCAACAATCGATAATCGAGAAAAAGATTTTTAACCTCGCGATACACATACATGCTGAATATTGAAAAATCTCTATATATTCAGCTTCTGTCCAACGTGCGCGCATCTGTTTTATTTATGAAACTTAATAACATTCCCGAGAAACTTGATAAACATCGATTATTTATCATTGTAAGCAGAAGCAGCGACTTTTCCGTCATTTAATGGAGCAATCTGCCTCTCAAATTCATAAATATTCAACACGCGTGAAATGACTTGTCCTTGACGGAACCTAATAATAAATAGCAAGACAGATTGGCCGAGCCGATTATTTCTCTGGCCGAGCGATTTATTCCTCGCGACGATTCGGCAGGTTGCGATAAATCATCGCCGGTCGGCGATAACGAACGGACGCTCTATCGCAGCGTCAATGGCAAGAGCTACTTAAGTTCAACGAGTACAATATCTTATCGGGTGAGACTTACCGGAATACGAATAGCCTCGTCGTTGTCGTCGCGGTCGTCTTCGCCGTCTGGTTATATCCCTCGGTTATCTTTCCTTGCAGGGCGTTGAAGTCTCTGGAAGCGCGCGCTCACTGAACACCCCGCGGTGGCTCACTTCACCGTTCGGGCGGCCCGTCGCACCGCTCACAGCAGTCTCTCATACCCGCACAGGTCCACACGTGTTAAATTGTCACGGCACCACCCCGATTGTAACTTTGACAGTCGGTTGCACCTTGCCGACTCGCGATCGCGAATTTTATTCTTTTCGGAAAAGCTCCAAAATACTCGGTCGAGCTTCTTGTTCGAATAGCGATGGTCCTGGCGAAGCTTTTAAGATTCCGACAGAATCATCGTCACCCTGATGACGTCGTAGCTCGATGCGGCCGGGCGACGTGGTCAATCACCGTGGATTGGGTGTTCATTAAGAATACCCGGCTCGTTGGTCAGCTGTTGTCGTGCGAAACCTTCCGGATCGCTGGTCCCGCTGATCGCGTGGCTGGACGCGTGATGCTCACAGGTGGGGGCGACGATGTGTCGTCTTGGTGAGATACCGAGAGAGTCGCGGGTGCAATATATCGGTTGTGTATCGACGGTCCACCGACGATTCAGTCACTTGTGATGAAACGTGGACCGGAAACTTCTCTCGTCGAGCGGGCAGAGTGGAAACGTCACTTCTCGTCTCGACAGTTCTGCGATCTATCCCGAGTATTCCATCGTCCAGACGAGGAGTCTTCTGCTTCGGGGTTCTACAGGATTCCTGGAAACAGCATCATCTCCTTGATGTTTATACTTTCAAAATGTACACCGAGACGTAGCGCAAACGCGTTTAGATCTACCGACAGCCGAACTAAAGTCGCGTCCCGCTCGTCGCCGAGAAAAGAGATATCGCGTCTCGCGGGTGAATCCACGTCGCGTGAGATGCCGAAAGGACACTTTCGCCGAAGGTTCTTCCGTCGCAAGGGTCCAAAAATTTCGTCGCGATCAGCGCGTGACGAACGCGGCGCGTCGATGCGTGATGGAGGGCGAGTTAGCCGGGGGCCTTACGCGTTCGAAGCTGCGGGCCCGTGCGCGCGTTAACGTCGTAACCGGTCTCCTAACGTCGTCGTGTCTACGATCGTCGTTCTACCTCGTGGAGCGTGCAGCAGGAGGCGTGCTGTCCCGGACTGGACTAGCCTGGGCCCCTGGAGTAGAGAGGGCCGGTCGCGCTTCACCTCCGCTTCGCCAGCCTCCCTCCACCATCGTCGCTTTAGGTGCCCCTCTCTTTCTCTTCGGTCTTGCGCGGGGCCCTCTCCCTCTCACCTGGGGCCTTCGTGTGCCGCGGCGGAACACGCCGCGGCTTTACCTGTCTCTCCCTCTCTCCCTTCCGCCGCGACCTCTCGCGATATCAGTGAGCGAGAGAGAGAGAGAGACGGCGAGAGAGATCGGGAGGCGTTTAGTGCGGGGGAACAGAAAGAGAAAGAGAGACGAACGGAGAAAGAGAGAGGCGCGATGGAAAAAGAGGCCCCTCTCTTTTCCCTTTCCCGATCTTCTGCCGTACGTTCGTACCGCGACGCCCCTACTGTGATACGACGAAAGAATCCTTCGCTTCGCAATGATTTCGGGGATCGAAGGGGTTTGCCGAGACGCCGACGCAGGCACGAGAGTGATTCGCGTAGAAAATCGTTTCGAAACGAATCGAAACGTCGTTTGCTAAACAATCAGGTAACACGAAAAAAGCTTTGCGCAATATGTATAAGCGATTTAATAACACAGGACTATCTCCGACTTGTTGCCACAGCAATAAAGATTGTCTGGAGATATGTTATTTTATAGACAAATTAAATTCATTCTTCGCTTGTTAAAAATAAATGCATAAAAATAGGCGAGAAATATATCACTTGATTGTATCTCGCAATGTACTGCATTACACAATGCTATGACAAATTAACGACAATGCCGAGTTAAAGATACCGATTTCTACCGTTTTCAGGCGAGAATAATACACGCATGCTGTGCTAGAAGGAATAAAATGGCCATTTAGAGTCGCGTATTCACAATGCGAATCGACGTACTTAATGTGCCATGTTTCCTCGACTTCTAACAGCCGTCGGAACACTTATAACGTTAGACTGGTCTGAGCATTCAGGTCAATGATGGGTGAAATTAAAACATCGATTGCACACGTACACACACCTTTCGAAAATACGAGAAATTGGAAGTATCGCGCCGAATACTCAAGAATATATGCAATTCGAATCTCTCTCTCTTTGGGCGCTTTACCGCATCGCCGAGCAATATTAATCGACGAAAGAAATAAAACCACAAAATCGACAATCACGCTACCTACGGACAAAATCCATTTGGTCGTTTCTTAACTACCGTCGTTAGGTTTAACGCCGGGGTTCATTGTCGATAAGTGGCACTAGACGGAGACGATGTAACGACCGTCATTCATCGGTCTTCGTGGATGGCTCTTTATGGCTAAAATTATGCTGCGTGGGCTAGGTTGGAAAGTCGCAAATTACTTTCGGAAGCGGTTCTTCGTCGGAGAAATGAAACGTTCCGTAAATAAATCGTAAATGATAAGTTACGATTCAATTATCGCTCAAACGGCAGACATTGTGGCGCGCCAAAAAAATATCTTTTTCTTCCAAAATAGCTGTCTAAAGCCAAAGTTAAATAACAGAAAACAGCAAGAATCTTTCTCCGTCGCTTATCGGAATACAAGGATCTACGGAGGTCAGATTCGCGTCTGATCTCATCTCATGCCGCTAATGTTCCGTGTGAGACTGGTACCGCGCGACGACAGAACGGAAGGCGGCTTAATGATCGCTCGTTTAATTACGGCACCGGCAATCAAAATCCGCCGAAAAAAGTCCGTCGTGGCGATCGCGCGGCGGGATCCACGAAGTTCACACCGTCACCGTTATGGGCGGAACCGAGAGAGCCGGAACCACGCTTCCTGCGCAGAACAAAACTTTCCTCTCTGCCCTCCCCCCCACTGTCGTCGTCGGCTAAATTGAACTTTGGACAAAGTTGTTGCATGCACCGTGCTCATATTATACTGCCGGCCGAACTGCGAATCAACGCGCGTCTCTCTGTCGTCGGAATGCGCGCGCGGGCGTGTGAAACGGAAGCACGTTTAATTCGGTAAGCGAGCTGACCCCGGGATTGTCGACGGAGAAATGCTGATTGCGGAAAAGCAATATAATTTGGTGATATAAATAATTCGTTTCGAATATGCAGAGCGTTGCGCTAATATTTTGCGCGATTAAATATCCTCCTCGCGTTCAATAAACTTGTACTGTTAAAAGAAAATTATGATTATAATTTAAATAATTGTAGAGGAAAGTCAATCCATTATTTGAGAATAATGTGTCGTAACCAGGCTTGTTTGAAACGCA